CCAGATGAAATTTCAGATTTTTAAAGCCATCTTTGGGTTTTTTGCTTTATGGGGTTTCAGGAATCAGAAGAAAGATTATAACTTTTTACTTTTTATTATTTATTTGTTGTTGTTGAGATGTGTGTACTCTTTCTTAGGACGATGTTTGTTGGCGGGTAATGGTCTTGTGGTGGGTCCCATCATAAATGTCCCTGGTTTTGCCAACGTGGCCACTAAGATATAGCCTAAGATTTTCCTATCCTGATTATTAGGTATTTATTACCTGCATTTTAATTTTTGATTTTGATATTTTGTTATTAATAGAAACTAAAGCTTGAAAGGGTAAGAAAGTTAAATAGAAAAAGGTAAGAAACTTGACCAAGAATCAATTTCTTATTCTTTTGACTAATAAAAAAAGTTTTATATCTAAAGATGTCAACTAAAAATAAAAATAAAAATAAAATATCTTCCCCTTTTTGTTTTGCTATAGCCTATAGGGTTATTAATCAATAAAACAATTTGACATTGGTTCTAAATTCAACTCATTGTTTAACTCAATAAATTTTGTTCATAAATTAAATAAGTTGAATTTGAATTAAAAATTGAGTTCATTAAATAAATAAGTCGAACTCGATTATATACATTTATATATGAAACTACAAGTAAAAACATCTTTCATATAAAAATTATGAGAATTGTGTCCCTACAATCATACATTGATCCTTACACTCTTACATTAGCAATTGTTTTGAAAGAATTTCTATACATACATATGTATATATACAATCTTTAATACATGAAATTTAACTTGTAGATGCACTTATTATTAAAATTCACAAATTTTCTCTATCTATATATATAATTCACCAACATCTTTTAGACATTTTAAATTTATGTTGATGAGTGGTATAATTTGAGCTCACTAACTCACTCAAAGTCTATAAACTTTAATTGAGTAGAACTTAAGGTGAAAAAACAATTTGACATTAAAATCGGCTCAAAACTCGAGTCGAGTTGGGTGAGGTTTATCTCGACTCGACTCATATCAACCATTCTCAGAGGATGAGCATTGAAAATTAAATTTATAGGTAAGGGCAAGAGTTTTTACATAATTATATTGTTATATTGCATACTGTTATATATATTATATGATATAATTCATATATCCTGCACAGTTCAATGATCTGTCTGTATATGTAAAACCAATTTATTGTCAATTAATCAAGTTGTTTTTTATATGATATTGATTTAGAATGAAATTGATGGAATATAGTCATATTTTCTTTTGAAGTAGTGAACTCGTAACATATTAAAAGAATTAATTCAATCATATTATTTTATATGAGAGACTTTATTATCATTGATTATTCCTTTTTTATCAATATCTTCTATATATATTAATATATTTAATATGTATACATATTGACTATTATCACGGGAATTAATAGTTATCCAAATTAATTTTGTATTGTCTATGTTACCATTTGAAGCTTATATGGGAAGTAGGAAAGTTGGCCTCAATAGTTGTATCATCTTTATATGAAAAAAGGGGAGGGATCCACTTACTCCAAGAGTAAGTAGAAAATAATTACTTCACATCATGATCATTCATTCTTGAGAAATCATGGATCGCTCCACATGAAAGAAAGGTAAATATGGACATAACCACTGCCCATCCATCCACCACAGCCTATTTTTAGCTGTATTTGTTACTATGCACTTAATATATTGATTTTTTAGACAGAGAGTACTTCCCTTTTTGTCCCCTTGGTTGCATAAAAATTTATACCACTTTCATTAGAAATAATATATCCTCACATCATCAAACACAGGGAAAAAATGAGATCAAGATAAGTAACACAGCACCGAAACCGGAAGAGTTTTACATTTATACCTCTTGGGCCTTTGCTTTTCTTGGGGTTGTCCTTTTTGTTTCGTTCATAAGACTACATAACCTTTAACTGTACCCAACTATGGTCCTAAGCTCTACAATGATGCCAAACGACCCCTAAGATTGATGTAATGAAAGAGTAGGGATGACAAAAATACCCGGACCCGTGGGTACCCGTCAAAATACCTGCAATGGGTACCCGCAAAAATAGCTCATGGGTGGGAACGGGTATCATGATACCCGCCCCGCGGTACCCGCGTATATATTTTAATTAAATATTTTATATTTAGTTATTATTAATTTAACATTTGTTTATTTTATTATTACTTCATAATAAAATTTAGTAATGAGTCTATAATCATAAAATTATCATATACATGTCATATTATTTAAGTAAAAATTATTTTTATAGATTAATTATTGTAAAATATATAAAAATATAATTAGAATGAGAAACCTGTTGGGTACCCACGGGTACCCACTACCCGCACGGGTACCCGTAAATAGTGCGGGTACGGGCATGGGTATGCACTACCCGTGCCCGCCCGTGCCCGTTGCCATCCCTATGAAAGAGGCTCACTATTCAAATTATAAAAGGATTTATTGGCTAAACTAAAGAAGAAGAAAAGAAAAGGATAGGGTAACTAAGGAAGGGGATTTTTGTATGTGGAAGTGATATGTTAGAATGCTGAGAAATAAAGTTCAGCTTTCCTTAATATAAATTACTTTTGTTTTCTTGAATTCTTTAGGGCACCAGATAACATCACTGAAATAAAATAGTAAGATCACACAAAGTAGAACAGATCATCAAAGTTAAGGGCAGATAATGAAGTGTTACCACGGCAACATGGTAACTTTGTCTTGAGAAGTTAATGCACAATATTCTTGTTCTGAATTAAGTTCATAGATCAGACAAGCTAAATCAGTATGTCTTCAAGTCTTCATTGCAGGTCTCACCAGCCCCAACCCAGAACCACTTCCCAAATGCTTGAAGTCTCTGGCTTCAAGATTATCTCCATGACCAGCAAAACCTGTTCCTCCTTTCTCTAGATTCACCATATGCCTCTCTTTACATGCCTTGTTGCAAACAAGACAAACTTTATCAACAGCCACGAACCGGTCAGCACATTTCTTGCAAAATACATGCCCACATGAACTAAGGGCCACCAGTGACATTGTGTTGGTTAGAGTGACTTTGCAGCTAGGACAAATGTAGGTCCTATCAAGAGCGTTGGATTTTTTATGCTCACTAGTATCTTCAGTGAATTGGACAGGGAAAAGTGTCTTTAACTTCAGTTTCTCATTTCCTTCAGGACAGACAGTACTGGTAGAAGGTGCTTCCACTTTAACAGAAGCTTCTGGTGTAGCAGAAGGCAGCCAAAATGCCTTCATTGTCCGAAGGGCTTCCTCCTCATAGGAAGTGGCCTTCACACTGTTTGCCCCATGGAAACCATTCTTATCACGGCTATAATTTCTATCACTGTATTGCGGCAAAGCGCCATGATTTTGCTGATCAAATGCATCAAGCTCTTTAGCCTTTTCTAACATTAATCTCTCTTCTTCCTCCTCCTTTTCTTGCTTCTGCTGAGCAGCATGGGCTACAACCCTCCTGTTTTATTGTAAATACCAAAATCATAACCACATTGTTAAGATTAATAACATTACACTGGTTGTATAATTGCATCCACACCAACGAAGAACATAATATAATTAAAAACTAAGAAAAAAATGTAAAGGGGACTCATTCTTCTTCTGCATAAGAACTCAAGAGGAACAGCAGATTCTAGATAGAACTAGTCAATCCATTTTGTTAATGATAAGAAAAAATTTAAAAAATTCAGCAACGGTAGATGGAATACATAATTTTACAAGATTGCCCATGCAACATCTAAGCCAATTAAGGACCGGCCGTAAGGGACTAGAGAAAAATATTATGAAAATTCTGCAAACCAACTCATAATTTTACATGATAACCCATGTTATTGAACATCGAACTTCAGTGGTACACACATATAGGCATATTCGTGATACAACATTCGTTTGTGAGAATGAAACCCTTTGTGAATAAATATGATTATGAGAGATAAAAAACACTTATATTCTAGTTAGTTAAATTACTTGGTCAAAATATTTGACAAGTTTTGAAAAAACCCCTAATCTCCATTTTGCTAAAAAAACTCATATAGGCTGAGACAAATACCACCTTAAATGTTGGATTTTATCCATTCTTCAGCAATATATTAGGTGTCTAAAAGGAACATCCACACAATCCTGTAGTATCCTCTCAAAACAAAGATATTACATCATTATTAGGAACCTACAACTTAAACGTCAAAATTCTACATAGCAATGTAAACTTAGTAGAAAGACAATTTGCTAAAAAAAATTCACCAACCTCAACATTTTCAAAACTAGAGTTTTTTAAATTTCATCATGAAATAACCTATTCCATTAAAAATTGGGGCTATTTTGACCATCAAGGAAACCCTAATCCTTAATATATAATTTTTTTTGGAAAGTGATAGATAGAAAGGAAGAATGGAATGGAGTAAATACCTTTGAATGTCTTTCTTCTGAGACAAGAGGCACTCAAGAATGCACTGTTTGCAAAAGAGGTGTCCCTTCTGACAACTCATGGGGTCAATGAAGGGTTTCAAACAAAGAGAACATGCATCGAATGGTTTTATTGAATCCTTTCCCAACCTCTCTTTTTGGGTTCCATAACCAAGCTTGCGTTTCTCATCGTACGTGAAGAACGCAAGATCGTTGTTGTTCTTCGAATGTCTCTGAGGCATCTCTTTATTATTCAGATCAAAGGGTTCGTTTCTTTCAGATCTTCTTCTTCTTCTTCTTCAACCTTATCAATGGAACGTCGATTTCATGGGCTATTGGGCTTGTGTTCATGGGCTTTTCATAAATAATGAGAAATTCTTTATTAATCTTATGAGTAGATATATTATTAGTACAAATAAAATAAATATGAATGTTACGATATAGGACCACACATAGATTAAATTATCCTAATTGCTTACATGGATTGGACCTCTACTATAGACACTAAATTTTAATTCCCATTTCCCACAGTGTTTGGGTTTGGCCTAATCATAGTTTTCATTTTCCAATTGGACACGTGTCAAGAATTCATTGATTAATGAATATGTGCGAATAATGAGATTGATTACAAAGTTTTGGGAATTTAGGGATTTGTTTCACTTCACTGATCTCTAACTATTTCTCTCCATCATCACTGATCCAAACCCTTGCAGATTCCTTGCGTTTGAGTGGAAGGTTAAGCCCTAGAACTTTCCATTTTCTATTTTTTTTTCTTTTCTTGAATTATTTTCTCTCTGAAAGCTAATTGGAGAAAAATAACCGTGATTTCTTTCATTTTCAGTTACAGCTAAAAAAAGATTTTCTTTGGAACTTGGGGAAAAATCGGTGAATTGGTTCAAGAGAGGAAAAATGCAGAATAAAGATTCAGTTTATGAATATGAGGAAGTAGATTCTTTGGCATTTCCGATGTCTGAATTCGATGGATGTAACTGTTTTGGTGATGATGACATAATGCACCAAAAATCTTCAATCCAGGATGACGAAGCCAACAAGGTCCCATTTGTGGGTGACAAGGCAAGGCTAGTTGCATAAACACTTTCAAATTTCTTATCAATTGATTTAGGTTCCATTTAGTTTACGATTTACAAATTTTTCATGGTCTTGTGCTTATACCTGCTCTTCCCCTGAAACTTTGGATTTGGTTTATTTAAGGAAAGTGATAATTGTGTTGATTTGATTACTTTATGTTCCTCATTTTTCTCATGCCATGTGGCTTCTATTCATAGTTACATACCGGATTTCATATAATAGAAGTCTTTGTAATAATACTGTTAAAAGCGACGAACCATATAGAACTGGACATCAGAACTGATACTGTGAACCATATAACTATGCTTCTGTTATAATTTTACTATGACAAATTGGCAGGAACCGTTATCTAGTTTAGCTGCTGAATATCAATCGGGAAGTCCTATCTTGCTGGAGAAAATTAAGGTTAGGTCAACCTTTTCTTTCTCCATTTCTTTGTGTGTTTTACATTCTCCAAGCATCTTAACATGTTTCTTGAACCTTTCTCTTGTGATGTGTAATACAGGTGCTCGAAGAGCAATATGCTGCCATTCGACGTACTCGGGGAGATGGGAACTGCTTCTTCCGCGGCTTTATGTTTTCATACCTTGTATGTTTTAATGTGTATATCTCAGAATCAATTATCCTCCATTTTATGTTTGGATGGCTATTCTGGGGTCTATGGAGTATGACATCAAATATTTCAGTAATTTTGGTAAATGGATAAATTGCCTTGCTTTATTTCAGGAGCATATTTTGGAATCTCAAGACCAAGCTGAAATTGATCGTGTCAAAGAGAATGTGGAAAAAAGTAGAAAAGCACTGCAGACCTTGGGTTACCCAGACTTGACTTTTGAAGATTTTTTTTCGGTAACTTAAGCGCTTCCACCCCCCACCCCCACTCCTTCTTTTCTAGGGTATATGTGATTATTTATTTTTCTTCATTTAATATCTTAAGATTTCTTTGGCAAAAATGTTTACACACCTACACAACTTCTAAAGTTTGAAAAATACTACAAAATTTTGGTTGCTATCTATGAAAGTAGATATAGTGCACTGATGTACTGAGTAATCTCTCCTAAACTTTGTTCTAGTTGAAAGTAGATACCATGACTTTTTACATTTGACCACTAAGCCCTTATACTATGGGAAATGCTTGAATAGATTCTTCCATCTATCCATTTTTAAGTTGTTAATGGTTTCTTTAGTCATGTGTGAATCAGGTGACTAATTTTATCATCTCTAACTATTGTAATTGGTAACTTGTTACCCAATTACAATGTCACGTGATAGAGGTTACTGAGCTGAGTTCTTGTGAAATCATAGACTTAAAACCATGATCAACAGAAGCTGAAAAGTAAACGCCTCTAGAAGTTACATTTACAGGGTGTGGGAAATGATTTGTTTTGGTGAAGTCCGGGGTATTATTGCTTCACAAATTATGCATAGTGCCTTGCTTTTATTCTAGCCTTTTCAATGAAAATTGACCAAAAAGGGAAATACAAACTTTTGGCTGTTTAGAAAGTCTTGTATTAAAGGGAAGAATCTGGAAGATCTTCTGATCACATTGGTGTCATTTAATCCATGTTACCCGACCTCACCTCTTGGAGAAAGCTTTTGTTGTTGTTACTTGGCATATTGTTCTTTGTTTTATGGGAAAGTATAGCAAAATCAAGAAACATGATGCTCGAATACTTAAAGAAAATGATTTTAACTAGACCATGGTGGATTATAGTAATTCTAAATCTTTAGAGGCATTTCCAGATGTTTAAGTTTACACGTGCAAATGCTTTCCTTATTTATGGATATAATTTTACTTATGAATTATGATTATCTTGATCTTGTCAAAAATTTCAGTTATTCCTTGAGGAACTGGATTGTGTTATTCAAGGGAAAGAGACTTCTATAAGGTGTTAACTTCTTCCTTCACCATAGATTGGCATTGATAATCATGAGCTAAAACTTGAAAGCATGATATGTTCTTGGAATATTTAATTATCACAATCTGGTCATCATCTGTTATTTTCTTTTTCTGATGTGGTTTTGTTTGAATTAATTGTATAAACATGGTCACAGTCATGAAGAGCTTGTTCTTAGAAGCCGAGATCAATCAATATCTGATTATGGTGTGTTTTTTTTAAACCCTTCCCAAATGCCCTGCTCTCATTTCTCCCTTTTGTCTTGACAAATTTGTTTGGTTAGTTGTTATGTTCTTCAGATTTGTTACATCTGCTGCAATCCAAAAGCGCTCAGAATTTTTTGAACCATTTATACTGGGCTTAGCTAATACAACAGTTGAACAGGTTCGTTCAATGAGAAGAATTTTTCTATTCCTCCAAAAGTTCTTTGTGAAGTTAATATATGACAAAAATGAAACACCCCAGTAGTTTTATTGTTGAAAAACTGTCCATGTTTTCAATCTGTTGATTCTAATATATTGTTCTCCATCTGATGTCATTTATTTTGGTTTAGTTTTGCAAATCATCTGTTGAACCAATGGGTGAAGAGAGCGACCATGTGCACATTACTGCTCTTTCAGATGCCTTGGGTGTTCCAATCCGTGTCGTGTACCTTGACCGCAGCTCATGTGACACTGGGGCTGTCAGTGTAAATCATCATGATTTCATGCCTGTTGATGGCGATCTCTCAAATGCTGTTGCTAGCTCTGAGAAGAAAAGTCCTTTCATCACGTTGTTATATCGGCCTGGCCACTACGATATGCTCTATCCAAAGTATTGAAGAACTTCTTGTGAAAACCTTTTGTCTGTTACTTTTTTTTGTTGGTTCGTGGGGCGGGAACAACTATGCACGGAGCTTAAGCTGCTAAGCACACACTTGGGGTGTGTAACCTTGTTAATATTGAATGTTCAATTGTCTAGAATGTTGACTTGTTCATAAGAGATTGATCAGCAAAGTATGCCAACATTAACGCTCAGTAGTAATCAAAATATCCCTTTATGTCTTTTGTTCCATTAAGGGTTAGCCATGCCTTCGTTCTTCTTATCAGTATGCATGGGGGAGTTTGTGACAAATGTGATTGCATGCTTCCTTGTACCTAGCCAACTTTTTCTTCTTAATTTTCTTGCACACCAAATGTCATTAATTTCATACATAATTTATTGGTAATGACTAAAAAATAGTTACCTTGATACAATTCTTTACTATGTTAATACATTAAGATTATTTCTTATAAGAGAGATCTACTTACTTCACATCTTAGTCATCAATTCTATGGAAATTAATGGTTTCAATTAGTGAATAGATTTAAACCATTAAATTTTCTTAGAATTGATTAGTAATATGTGAAATAAGTTTAAAAAATTTAGTCTTTGTGTAAATGGGAGGGATCCACTTACTCCAAGAGTAAGTGGAAAAAACATACTCCACATCATAATCATTCATTCTTGAGAAATCCAATGGTTTGAATTGGTAAGTACATCTAAACCATTGGATTTCCAAGATTGGATGGTTAAGATTTGGAGTAAGTCATTTTTCACTTATTCTTGGAGTAAGTGGATCTCTCCTCTTGTGTAAATGAATCTCTCCTCATTTTTATTATCCAAATGTTTCTCTCTAATGTCAAAGTGTGTTTTTAAGTAGAAAATTTGTGCTGCCATCCTCTCCGCCATTGAATTGTGTGGACTCATATTATGGCGTGGTACCCAAAAATTTAAAGGTCCAATTTTTTTAATTAAATAAATTAAAAATGTATAAAAATTATTTCCTCTCATATTATGTCGGAGAGAGGATATTATTTCAAAAAATGTGTTATCCATAAATCAGATAAATAATTTTTCTCATGAAAGAAATCATGGATATTTCATATTGATTGGTTGTTATAGACATATCAAGTTGCATGTCATCCAACAAACTTGTATCATTAAAATAGAAAAACGAAAAAAATCCCATTGATTGCTTTTTGATTTAAAAAGAAACTAAAAACGTTTACATCAGTCACATTAATTTTCTATTTATAAATCAATGTATTAATAATAATTGATTGACTTCCTGACTCATAGTAAATTAATAGGTAGAAAAACTGTAAGACAACTGTCACGGATCTCATTCTGATACTAATTTATATTTAAAGTATATTTTCTCATGTAATTCTGCTTTCACTGATGTTTGCTACTTCCAATTATAACTATAACGTTCAGCATTATTTTTAAGACAATCTTTAAGAACTTCAAATTTTGAAGTTTTTTTAGAAAACTATAAATGTTAACTTTTAATATATCATTCTAATGTTAATTTAATATGTTTAGGTTCTTAAACATTCTCTTAAGATATAATAGCAAATTGTAACAATAAATGGAAAAATATAATCATGTGTTCATGTGATTAGTATATTAATGTTTTGATATAATATTTATTATTTTGAATGACGTAAAACATCATTCAAGTTAATGTTTTTCTCTTCCTTTAGGGGTGATAATAATATATACTACTTCTAGGTGTGATAATAATTTTGTTTCATTTACAAAATGGAAATACTTATGAATGAAATATTTTAAGTTTATATTTATATATATAAACGTGTTTCTATATGTTTGTTTCCCTTGTTATCTTCTCCTTTAGCCAATTTGTATTATTTAAGTTTATATTTATTTTTACAATTCTTATAATTCCCCCAAGCGTTGAATGAGCTGAGCCTTTAAGATAAAGCAATTTATATATCAATCTACAACTATAAATTGTATTCAAGGATGTTGAAACCTGAAGTTAAATTAAAACAACTTCTCAAGGATTAATGTTCTACAATAATTCTATTCCTTTTGTTTGCAAGTATGCTTACAGAATCATAGTATCAACTTTGCCACGATTCTGATAAATAATATTATTCAAGATAATTTGCAATAATTGGTACTAGTAAAAAATGTATTATTGACTGAAAAGGCAATAATCATAATTAAAATTAGTATAATTGACTTTGTCCT